TTACTCCCCGGAAAGGATAATAGCGCGTTCGTTCCCCACCATAGACACCTGCGGTCCAGAGTTTTGCAAATATCTCAGCAACGTTGTGGTTGTATTTCGCTTAATAACCTGCCATGAAAATTATAGAAGGCAGAAAACAAAACGTTAAATATTTGTTTAGATTATTCGACTCACACGAGGTTGTTGTATAATGTAACTTCTGCTCGGATAACGTCTCGACGTCTTCGTGCACAGTAGGTCGTTTCCACGTTGTCGATCTTCCTTGTCGCGTCGACTCGAATATTCGAGCAATATTCTTGCGTCGAGCACCGTTCGTATGAACTAACCTCGGTCGTCGGTGTGCTTTTGTCGGTATTGGCTTTGAGGAAGACGAAGATGTTAAAAAGTTAGGTGAATAAAAGTTCTATCGGAACCTCGTGTAAGCTAAACACTCTAAACAGATATATTGGTTGTTCACGCCGACGTCAAGTGAAAGTCGGTTCAGTAAGGTATATCTGTAAGTATTCGTTCAGAATCTGCAGTTCTCTTAAATCCGCAGTTTGATGGCCCGTTTTCACACCTATTCGCTTTTCGCGTGCCAATACCATTTTCATCGAAGTGGCCTTTCACAGCAAAAATTCCTCTCTTTTGACTCTCAACAACGCTCCTCTACTGCATTTAACTCACTTCTGTCCCCGCAACAGTGCCTCCTCATTGATGATCGAGGGTAGTTTGTCATTTTGTTACTAGAATTCTTCTTCGTCGATGACTATTTCCTACAGTGCCTTTCTCATAGTTTGGCCTGTAGTTTGAAATGTACAACTACTTATTGGCTTGGGTAAACCTGTCGAAAAATAAATCTTCAGCTTTTCATATCCTCACGCAACGGTGACGTCGCAAACTTTTGATAGCGTCTTAGGATTTTTTTAGAAGAAGAGTTAAATTCGTTGTTCTATTTTCTTCTATAAATTGCACTTCCATGGCATTTGTACGAGGAAAGCAATAGGTGTGATAGTTCTTGTGGATTCATGTTCTTAAACTTGGATGGTCCGTCCTCACGAGTTGTGCGGACCGCAGTACATTTTCCATTCGTTTCTTTCCCTCGCAGCCGTTGTCCATGGTGGTGGTTCCATGTTCCAGCAATTTTCTTTAAAAAACTGTAGCATTTACCAAGACGTTCAGGTTGCTGCAAGTGAAGTGCTCATCGGCGCTTTAAGTATAATAGCCTCAGCAATACATAATTGCTAGAAGCACTGTGATATTTTCTTCCAGTAGTCAATCAGTATCTTGCAATTCCTATCCTTTTATCCTCTTACTCTGTCAGTTAAAGAGATGGTAAACTTGGCTCCTGTTTCCAAACATACTGCATTGTGTTGAATCATCTCTTGTGGTTGAATCCTTTAGCTGAAATGGAGTTGGAAATTTTCTGCGAAAATTTTAAGGAACGAGCCCTACGTTCCCAACTCTTTTAATTTGGATTCGAAAAGTTGAAGAAAGAGCTTGAGTTACGAATACCGCACACAGGGAAACGAATAGAAAGAGTGATGTGACTAAGACTCATCGTCCGAAGATGATTTATTGTCAAATGGCGATCATTCTTCGGTTATTGGGTAATCCGTGAGGACTCCACAGATTTATTAGAGAGACGTTGGCTCATCGCCTTAATCGGATGCACGAGTATAAATGTAAAAAAAACATGTGTGTGCACATGATTTTCATACACATCGTCTTTTGGTGGGCTAAATCTCCGTAGTTCTTTTGCTTTCGTGTTAATAAAAATGAACCTTGACAAAACTGGTAGAAACATGTGCCGTCGCTTTCAAGAAGTTAATATTAATTCCTAGAAAAATAACGCAATTTAAATGTCGTAGGAAAAGATCTATAGGTTCTTAAGGGTTCTATTTCAATCAATAATCGCGTATTTTGAGCTGAGGGATGTTGGTTTAAATTTGGAAGGGCGCACTATTTTCACATCGTATGTATTGTGCTCATTGCACCTCGTGCATTATGTTTTGAGCACCGTTCTTGAGGGTGAAGATTATCGTATTTAATAAAAAGGAGTGGAACTCACATTAAATGAGTTCCACTTCGACGATGATTGAGTTAAACCGTCTGGTGTTCTGGTAATTAGGACGTTATGGAGTATAGCCAGATTGCTGGTGTATTCATATCGCGACTCGCTCCGCAAGAAAAGGTTCTCGTTCCTTACAGCAATTTATCGCATGAAGTTGTTTCGTCGAACGTCTTTTCATGTCACTTTCTTACTGGCTAGGATATGGTACTAATATGAAATCCACGTTGAAGTCGTACAGGTGTCCGAGTCGCAGCGGCACGAGGTCGCGGATCCGAACGAGCAGCTCGCGCGGCGGCGACCACTTCGCTCGCCGGCCGACGCCGCCCACGTCGGCGGCCAGTCGCCAGCAGTTCGTCGCCCATGTCGCTGCCATTGCACGGCTACTCGAGGTTACTCTACAGGCGACCGCTCCTGGTGGCCACCATTGCCCTTCTGCTGACGGGCCTCCTACCGATCACTGTGCTCTTCTTCCATCCGATCACACTCAGTCGCAATGCTGAAATAGTGAGTCTTTGACGAGAGATAATCTCACCATCGCCCGAATTCTTCGCCATGTTTAGGTTCTTTCTTAATATTCGGCAGTTCATGTTGCAATAGCAATAGAATTCTTAACTTGTGAGGCGGTGTTCCTCTTTAACATGGTCATGGTGGAGCAGGTGATGATGACTGAACTTTCGAAGGTGTAGTTCTTCCTGGCGAAAAAATTAGCGCATATTTCACAACACATAGAGTGCACCAGAATAGCTACTTTTTTATAATTCGGCGCTGCGTGAAAAACGTTTCGATAAGCGCCAATACACTATAAGTGCCCATTCTTGTTTTCTGAAGGTCTTTTGTACGCAAATAGTTGGTGTTCTGTTAGAACTGGTAGTAATTTGTTAGAAATAATATATTTGCTGCAGAGGAGTTTACAGTATGGCAAAACACCTCTCTGTTGCGTTGAATTGCTCCTTAATATTTCTGCCCTCAGACAAAAGATGGGAGGCTTTAAAATATGAGTTAGGTGAGCTAGACTGAATGAGCTTAGTAGAAAACGGCGAACATTTAGGCCAGTGCGCACAATCGTGGCTAGTTTGGCCGGATTCCCATGTACTATCATTGAGTTATATATTATATATCGCCCTAATCCAGTCCTAATCTATGCTAGACTCTCAGGTTTCAGGAGTATCTTCAAAGGGTTGTGGTTGGATGAAGCGTTGGAATCTAAGACGATTGCTAAACAAAAACTTAATAAAAAGCATGTAGGCACAATCACAATGATGCCGAGATATTTGCAAAACTCCGGACCGCAGGTGTTTGCGGTGGGGAACGAACGCACTATTACCCTCTCCACGGGTTGACGCGTTGTCAATGTGGTTGTGCTTCACATCATACCGTGCCCTAAAAAATTGTAGTAGGCGGCAAATAGAAAGCTAACATTATATAGGTAGAGCCGTTAAAATACAGTAGGTGAGCTGTTCTATCTGGAGCTGTACTGCAGATGTTGATGTGAAGTAGCACTCAAGAAAGTATTAGGTTACGACCTTAGTTATCTGAACCTTCTATGACGTTCTTCGTAATTTTTCATCTATGGTATTTCAATTTTTCTTTTTTTCAATCCATTGTGCTTTTTTTAAACTCACTGAGCATACCATACAGGAATTTGTAGACACTGGTTCACCAATGCAAAATATTGCCATTTCTTTCGGTTTTTCTATTCACCTTCCACCTCATAACAAAGTTTATGTGAGAGTGATCACGACTCAAAACTGTTCCTTATTCAGGGATTCGACACCAAAGACACCGAGTACTCTGGTACTCGGCAGGCATGGCAAAAACTCCAACGGACGCTACGTACGACAAACCGGATCGATTTCGCTAACCAGCCACCATTAGTTCAGGCAGAATCGGAGACGGATTCCTCGTCGACGAGTATTCCTGAAAGAGTAAAGCGCTCGTGGACGGACCAGCTGATGAATGCGTTCAGCAAATTCCCATGTTACGATTCTCCGATACCACTAAGTAATTTTTGAAAGATCTGCGGGTTTTTTCGTCTCATGTCTTTCTTTCCTGTGTAATCAGTAGTTCTCTAAATCATCAAGTTGCTTAAGAGGACACCAATAAAGTACACATTTTTATAGCAAGGAATATTTCAGTTTCCATTGGACCTACTTTATTTAACCGTCTTATTACTGTTTTATGAGTAGGCTGTCCAGTTCATCTAAACTGGATGATGGGCTTATTCGTTGCGGATGACACTGAACCGCTTATCAAATACTTCTCAGTCACTTCAAAAAAGGCGTGAATATATCTCCATGCGTTCAGAGGAATAAATCTACCCGTTTCTGCAGAAAATGGGGTTCATCTCGTCCGTGTCTCTATCTCTGGACGTACACCTATCATTTTTCAGTAGATTACCTTTAAAGAGGACAATCATTAGCTTGCTTTCAGTGAACCACCTCACCCAAGTAGTGATCGAAGTGCCTAACCTGTCAACGATTTTCCAATTGGATTTCCTCGGAAAGATATGTTCGATGCACGATCACATCGCCAAGGAACTCAGCGCATTCGACGATGTCACACCTTATCGCAACATTTGGAGTATCGCAAATTTCATTTCTTGTCTTTCTCCGAACTTCCTCTTCAACTGTACAGAACTAGGCCCTAGTGATGTACAATTTGCGAAGGAACTCGTTGCCTTCTGCATTCCTTACCGCGAACCGCTGATCTCCTGCAAAATCGCCTGCAAACAGACCTGCTCTTCTTGCCCTGGTGAGCTGCTTTATTCTGCTTTATTCATTGAGTTCTTCTTTAATGTTCATGCTGCAACGGAGTGTGGTATGCTTAGGGAATTCGCGAAATTCTGTATTTCGAACTTCTCTATTAGTCCCTATTAGTCTGATTTTGCAATTTAGTACTTCGAAAATGAGTATTGAGTGCGGTCAGTTTTCTTCCCAGCTTGGAATGATATGTTGAGTTTATATTAAATTTAACTGTATGATTAGAAGATTGACTATCCGACGTGAAGTGTCAACGCGAAAACCGAACCGTTGATGCTTGGTTGTCGTTGCAGATGTGCCACAGAATTGCACGTCGGCGATGATGTTCGACCTGTTCTACCGACTTCTACCTCGCGATTTGGCGGCAAGCCCTCTACATCTGAACACCTTCCTGCCAGTTTTCACACTAACTGGTTACGCAACGCAAAACATTTTCATCACTTTAGACCGCTATGATGACCTAGAAGATGCGATCCAACGCTTCGTGAATTTAGAGAAGCTTGTCTTAAAAGGTAATACTAGTGTGTGTTACAAAAAGTCTGGGTTGTCAAAAGTCAAACGTATTTAGAGTGGTCGTACTGGTTAATATCATTTTTGAAGATTTTTAATTCACCAATGTAGGTGATTTTTAGATTTTTTTCTAGAAGTAACATAGACTTCTTGCTAATGGATGAATTATTAGCGAAGTTCACGTACACACGGGCAGTATGCATGTGGTTTTCCTAACCTGAAACGACGTGAACATCGAAAGCAGCTAGTTCTATAAAGAATGGACATCTCAGAAGTTTTTCACGACCCTTATGAGACCATAACTGGAGAGCGTGTAATAAATTACAGAGAAGCGAAATCGATCGAATCGATCGAACTCGAACTTTCGCTAGGGTGTTTCGTAGTGCGTGATCCAGTTTCACTTTCATCGGGGGTCGGCGTCCACACTCAGTGCCCATTCCGTCAAATCGCCACCAGTAGGCGTGAGCATGAGAATGAACACACAACGAAACACTCCTTGGAACGCTCTGACTTCGTAATGATCTCTCACTGATTTCCTATAGACTGCTGAAATGGTGATGTAATAGCCTATTGAAGGTGTATCATTGGAACAGCCGCCAAAACCGGTTGGATGCCTCTTGGTGAAAATTGGATGTTCATGTGAACTAGTTCGTACCGAATCGCGAGTTCGTTTGTTAAGAGTTTAGAACAACTTGGAGCCCCTTTTATAGTGCTGTCCTTGTTCATTCTTCATAACCAGAATCCATCTTTCACACTTTGCGAAATACCACTGGATCACATGATAATTTGGGAGTGGTCAACTTTAGCAAAGCACTGCTTTCCTTAAGGAGGACTTGTTGCATCTGGTCGGCACACTGATTAAACTTCAGTGGTAAATTTACGAGCATGTTGAGAAAACGAAAAGCGTAATTTAAATAATTCTGGCTAGTCAAGAACTTTTCTGCTTTCCATTTTCTAAAATATACTGCAGGAATTCCTACATTGTGCAGATCCGGCAGTTTGTTTATACGGTTGCTTGGCTCGCTTCTGTCATCGAACAAAGCTTTTAGATGTGGTTACGGCTACCAATTGAAATCGTTCATGAATGAATGGTTTTTCAATGCTGCCCCAGTTGGTTCTTCTTGGAAACCTCGCGCAACCTGACTGGAACGTCCTCAGATCTTCACAGCAGGAAGTATCCTGTCTCTGAAAGAATTTATCCATGCAAGTGTCATTTTGGCGACCCCAGAAAGAGGCAGGCTTAGTTGCCCCGATGCGAGTCGAACTAAAGACTATGTCGCACTACATCCCTAACCACTGCGCTTCTCGCGGTTACTTGGATCGTTTTAGTCTGGTATCTAAAATTAACTTTTTGACGCTCAGGCGAGGAAGGACTTTATTTTCGAGGAAATAACGAACATATTTTAACTATTTAGTTAACTAAATGAACCAGAGATATATTTTTCATGCATTTACGTGTTTAATGAGGCAGATAATATCTGTCTCGCCTGCACAGTCATTTAGCGGGTCAATCGTTGAAGGCGACAGAGGTCATGATTACTATGAGCTCTGCCGACAAAGCTGTTAGCAATTTGCCAGCTCTGATGCGACCAGAAGCTTGATTGGCCTGCGGATCTGACATTCTCATAGCAATAATGTGAAAGCGGGAACAATAACGCCGAAACCAGTTTGATTTAATAGATTCCAGAGTAAACAAACGGCCACTGAAAGTGTCCTAATAGGCAGAAGCGCAGAGCTAACTCCCTCAACTACGCTTCATACCATAGAGACTATTTCCATATGACAAAAAACAATGAACGTTAAAAATCGAGTGTATGAATTAAACATGTAGACAGGAGAATAACAGTTGGCTGTCGGTGTTCGGTGATCATTTGCGCATCTGCAGGTCTGGCGATGGACGTAAAGCGCGACAAGCTCTTGCCGGCCGCGATGGCCGATTCGCTCCTGGCGCTGCTGGCGGCCGTCGTCGTCGTTGTCGTCGTCGCTGTCCACTCCCGCTCGCCGTCGTACGCCGTCGCCGTCTTTCTCGTGCTTGCCCTCAGTGTCACTGGTCGGTAATTTCTTTCTACAATATCAAATAGTAGGAAGTAGAAATCAAAAATCGGAGTTCGCATACGAATAGGGAATATGGACACACGCATTTGCGAGTGCAGGATTACCCCAATTCTGAAATATCGCTCTCCCCTCTCTCTCTTCGAATTCCTGTTGTTTAACCTTTTCTCTAAGATGAGCTTCCCATCTAGTAAGGTAAGCCAAACATATTTTCCTGCTTAAGAAGAACAAGAACTTCGGGAATATAGCCACAGATTCTATCGAGCTCTACAAATTATATTTCGAAAACTGCAAAACTCAAAAATTCTTTTCTTCTTCTTGAATTATAAGAATTTACTGTTATACTGTTGTCTATTAGAAGGGAGAATGTTATAGAAGTGAGAAGTTCTGTAAAGGAAACCAGCTACCGTTCTGGATTTTGGCATATTGTTTCTAGGCTCTCTCGCCTTCTACGCACTGTTCACCTCGGATTTTCCGCTGCTTAACTTGGTCATCTTCGTGCTACTCATCGCAGTCGGCACCGACGACGCGTTTCTCCTTTTCAGTCATTTTCCCGGCAATCTTACGGAAGACTCCTTTTGTGAGGTTCGCTATGCAATTCAGCGTATTCAGTTGCAATTTGTTTGTTTCAATGGTCATAAAAGAAGTAATGTTGTTCTTTCGAGCGTTTCTTTTTAATTCAGTGCCTTGCCCACACTAGCTCTACCATGTTTCTCACTTCGTTCTCCACAGCCGTGCCTTTCTTCGTAAACATTTCCTCGAACGTCGTTGTCTTTCGGTGAGAATTTTGCGCCTACCTTGTCCATGGTGGGAAACAGATCAGTTTTGAAAATTCAGAGGCAAGTGGTCCGTTTGACGTTGTAGATGATGAGAAACTAGAACATGGAGCTAACGAACACCTCTACAAAGTGGGGGTAGCGTAAACGGAATGATTTGTTCAAATGCACTTTGTTTCGTATCGAATCATGTTAAAATCTACGTTTTGTTTGTTTGAATACGTAAATCCGTATCGCGTATTTACAAAATTGCATGCTGATTAGATTAGATTAGATTAGATTTCCAAATGAGTCTTAGCTGAGCACGGAAGCTTTCTTCTACTGCGTGCCAGAAAACATACATGGTGGCCCCTTCCAGGTTCCCGTCACCATTTAGGAATGTCGTTGTGAAACTGATGCTGATGTACTAAAAAGGTTCAGGAACCACTTTTAATATCTATAGGAACGGAATCCGTTTCTGTTACAACCCCTTCGTTGCTAAAATTGTCCAGTTTATTGTTCAAAATTTAGCATTCAGATGCTTCGGCCTTTTCGCCGGTGTGACAATATTGATAAACTACCTTCTCGTGATTTCATTTCTTCCCGCGTTTCTGATTCTGCAAAGGAAGTGAGCTCGTCTTTACTTCATCTTTGACGGCGTCTGGCCATTACACTCTAATCCTTTAAAAAACGTCTTCTTCAGACATTGTTCATGCTTGCCTTCATTGCCTGATATAGGCATTTACATATCGAGATCATTCAAGGAGGTCCTGCCATGGGTCGTCGTACAGGTTTACAATCACGTGTTTTTTTTGTTACTACTCAATTTTTTATGCCACTCATTGGGGTTTCTCGGCAGTACTACAGTTAGCACAGACATCAGAAAGGCATTTGAATATGATATTATGCAGCTTCTACTTTTATTTCTGTTCTAATTTTTATTCACTTTCTTGTACCTTTCTTAGAAAGCGTAGCATTTTTCTTGTTTTGTACTAAATTCTAGTCTTTCCACATAAAGCGGTAGTTGGATAACAGAAACGTAATAATACAACAATGCTGAGATATTTGCAAAGCTCCGAACCGCTGGACTTTGCGGTGGAGACGGAACACGCTATTACTCTTTCCAGGGGCTAACGCGTTCATCACCACACCATGCGAGTCCTTCATTTCGTCCCTCTTTCAGCCGTTACTAGAAACGTGATATTTTTGTGTAAACTCCTTTAATTTGTCTGCTTTCGGTGAGGTCTATGGGGTGATTGAAGAAATAATTCACTGTTTTAAAGGCCTACAAACTATTCATGCGCTGTAACGTTTTTCTTAAATATGCATGTTTCTTAGTGTTTGAGAATTAATTCTATACTAGCTAACGCTGCTTTTCCGTCTTTATAATTCCTGCCCTGCTGGAGAAAATTGTAGTCGCCAGAAAATAAAAGGTTAACATTGTAATTTCGACTACAGCCTTAGCTTAACTGTGCTCAATGCCGATTCGTGCTCTCCAGATCAATCCCGCTGACGGGTGATTGCTGATAGCAACGTTAGGTAGAAAACTAAATGAGAGAAACGTATAGCAAGGGCGTCCGTGGTGCAGTGTGTAATGCGCTAGGGGATACTGGGATAATAATGAATAATAACACTTAGGATAATAATGAAAGTTTCGTTTCTATGAAAGATGGTGCTACTCCACACTTTGCTATCGTTCATGAATGACTCAATATCCACTTCCCTGGAAGATGGATGGGACGTCGCGGTCCACATGGGTGGCAAGCCAGAATCCCTGATTTAACACTCTGCGACGTTTTCCTTTAAGTTTAATTGAAAGGGCAAGTCTTCTCTATCAAACGAAATGACTTTGCAATAATCTGAAGGGTCATCACGAAAAGTGATACCTTAGATACCACAAGAGTTCTTGGTGAAATCAGTCGTTGTCGATTCTAGGCGGTTTGCGGAGCTGGTGGCAAAGCTGGTGGTGGTGCCCATATCGAACTTTAAATAAAAGTCCTACATGATTTCTGCTTATATTAATTTCTTGTAAAAGTTACAGTTAAGAAACAGACCATAAATATTTAAAATAGCGACTTACTTTTCATCGTATTTTTGTTGAGCAAACGCGAGATGTTATTATTCTTTGTTCACGATTAAGCTGACGTTTCGGCGGATTTCGCCTTC